AGTGAGGCAACGTGTAACCCGCACCTCTGTCCCCTTGCACAGCTCTAAGAGGCTACTGTCTCTCCTCATGACAGCTCATCCCAGATAGAAAGTGAAAGACGAGGTCACGCTGGTGTAGTTTCAGTCTGGTTCTCTCATGGGTGCAGACTAGGGATTTTACTTTCTCTTACGTCCTTGCCTAGGTTATGTGGTAGATTTCAGTATAGATATTGCATCTCTCTACCCCTAGGAGAGTGGTCCCTCCCATTTAGTTGACTGAGGGGTCCACCTGAGGTGACATGGCGTTTCTGCTTCATTTAAGGCCTTGTTGCCCAGTTGTGGGGGCCTGGGCCCAGATCCACAGGAGACAAAGGGTAGAGGCCAAGTTCCCAAAGACAAGCACAAAGTAGGACCCTGATCTCAATATCTAATTCTCCTGATTTACTGGGATGGTTTTCACAGATTTCTCACAATATAGTCACCTCCTCTCAGGGTTCCTTTTATTGCTGACACCCTGGGAAATCCACCTCTCTCTCCTGTCCACAGGAGTACACCACAATGAAATTCCACTATAATCTTTGATGGAGAGAACTTTTCCAACTGTGACTAAAAATCTAGAAACAATTAGGGAAAACAATGATGTAGTTTCATTTAAAAATTACATGGCAAAAGCAAAAAACATAAGCAAAGTTAAATGAAAAATTACAAATTGGGAAAAATATTTACAACTTCCACATAAAGAGTTATAATCCTAATATGTAGAGAGCTCAGGAAAAAGTGTAGGCAAAAATAACCCCAAATAACACCATGAAAAAGAAGGGGGCAATAGATACAAACTGGTATTTCACCAGAACAAGATCCTTAAACATGTAAAAGTTGCTCATGCTGTCTCATGGTAAGAGTTGCAAAGAAAAAAATAATTCCGTTTTTGTTGATTAGTCTGTGAGCAATGCCCATGCATTGCTGGACATCATATAAGAAAGTACAACCCCTGAAGAGGGGGTTCAATGCTATCTAGTAAAATTGCATACCTATTTCCTCTTGGATCCAGAATCACCTGTCTGAGAATCTCTCCCAAAGAAACAATACAAAACACAAAATGGTATGTTCACAAGGTCATTCCTTACAGTAATTTTCATAGCAGCAGAAAACGAGACATAAGACAGATGTCCACCAATAGTGGCTGGATGAATAACTATGGTCCATCTACATCCTAGAGAACCATGCAGGTAGGAAAGCAAAGAGGAGTTCTTCTTTGTACTGCTGTGGGGTAATTTCCAGGATACACTGATCAGTGAAAAAAGCCAGGTGCAGAAAAGTATGTTTTGCTGCTGCTGAATACAGTAGCCACTAGGCACGTGTGACTATTTAAATTTAGGTGAGTTATATTAAATTAAAAATTCAGTTTCTTGGTTGCAGTACCCACATTTCAGGTGTTCAACACCCATATAGCTAGTGGTTACAATGCTGGACAGCACAGACACAGAACATCTCATTTCTGCAGAAATTTCTGTTGCACAGCACTGGTGTAGGATATGCCACCTATTATCTATGAACAGGGGAGAAAACTAATTACATACTGTAATAGATTATATTTTTCCAGACTAGAAGGGTAAAACAAAAACTGAAAAAAAATTTTACCTAACCCGGCCGGGTGTGGCTCAGTGGTTGAGCGTCGACCTAGGATCTGGGCGATCAGGGTTCGATTCCCCGTCAAGGCACATGCCCAAGTTGTGGGCTTGATCAATGACTCTCTCATCATTGATGTTTCTCTCTCTCTCTCTCCCTCTCCTTTCCTCTCTCTGAAATCAATAAAGATATATTTTTAAAAAAAAATTACCTATAAGGCGATAGAAGAGCCCAGGATGGAAACTGATGATGTATATGATCTTAGAAATATAATACAGATTTACAGGCTCCATGCACTGAAAAGGGCAAGAACACAATGACTGCCCCAGCAGCAATGAGCAACTCTAGTCCCCAGACTGAATCCTCTAAACACATTTCCAGGCTTCCTTGGGGAAATGGGTGATTCCACATCTGGTTAGGAGAGCCTTGACCAAACTCTCCTACCAGAGAGCAATTCAAAAAGACTCAGAAGCCAATCCGAAGAGGTTTCCACTTGCCAAAGGTAGAACTCTTTGAATGTCAAATAAAATAATGACTACGCTAGTGAAGATATCTGGTGGTCCAGGGCTTTTCTTTGCTTGGAAGTTTTTGATTATTGACTCAATATTCCTACTGATCATTGTTCAGGTCAGATTTTCTAATTCTTCCTTATTAATCCTTGGGAGATAGTAGGTTTCTAGGAATTTATCCATTTCTTCGAAGTGGTATATTTCTAGAATTTTATACATTTTTGTAGGTTGTCCAATTTGCTGTTGTATTGTTTTCCATAGTAGTCTCTTGTGATCCTTTGTGTTTATGTGGTATCAGTTGTAATGTCTCCTCTTTCATTTATAATTTTGTTAACTTGGACTTTTTCTTGGTTATTCCATTGGTTGTTCAGGAGTGCATTATTTAATTTCCACATACTTGTGATCTTCCAGTTTTCCTCCCATTATTGAATTCTAGTTTCATACCACTGTGGTCAGAAAATAGACTTGGTATAATTTCAATTTTCTTAAGTTTACTAAAACTTTTGTGATCTAACCTATGACCCATCTAGAAAATATTCCATGTGTGCTTCTGAAGTATGTGTATTCTGTTGTTGTTGGATGGAATGTTATGTAAATGTCTGTTAGATTGATTGGTCTATAGTGTTACTCGAATCAGTCATTTCCTTATTGATTCTCTGCCTGGATGATGTATCCATTGCTGAGAGGGGTTATGAAAGTCCCCAACTATTATTGTTGTTTATTTTTCCCTTTAGTTTTGCTACTATTTTATTTATATATTTAGGTGCTCTGATGTTGGGTCCATAAATATAGGGGTGAGTAAAAGTCAGGGATGGGCACAAGTAGGTTTATAGTTGTGACTACAAGAAACAGTTTTTCTTGTATTGTTGTTTATTAATGTATTATTTTCCATATGAACAACTGTAAACCTACGTTTGCCCCACCGTGTATAGTCTGTTCATGGGTTAAAAGATTCAATATTGTTAAAATATCAGTTCCACTCAAATTGATCTATTGATTCAAAGCTATCTCAATCAAAATCCCAGCTGGAGTTTCTGCAGAAATTGACAAGCTGATTCTAAAATTCATATAGAAAAGCAAGAATAATAATAACCAAAATAACCTTGAAAAATAGTAAAGTTAGAGGACCCACACTGTCTAATTTCAGGGCATTATAAAGCTACAGTAATCAAGAGAGTTTGTCATCATAATCAAGATACACAAGTAGATCAATGAAACAGAATAGAGTCCAGAAAACAAATTCAGTGGAGAAAGAAGTGTCTTTTAAGCGAGCCATGCTGGAACAATTAGTTATCACTATGCCAAAAAATGAACTTCAACCTATAACTTGTACCATAAACAAAAAACTCAAAATGGATCATAGACTGACATGTGAAACCTAAAACTGTAAAACTTTTAGAATAAAATTTAGGATAAAATTTTTGTAACCTTGGTTAGGCAACGATTTCTTCTGTAACACTAAAACAACTAGTAAAAAGAACTGTTCTTCATCAACATTGAAAACTTCTGCTCTTCAAAAAAATATTTTTAAGAGAATAAAGAGACAATCCACAGACTGGGCGAAAATATTTGTAAAACACGTATCTGACAATTGACTTGTATCTAATATATATAAAGAACTCTTAAAAATTAACAAAAATGAACCATCTAATTTTTAAAAAGGCAAAAGATTTACACATACTTCATCCAAGGTATATGGATGGCAAATATGCATAAGATGTCCAACATCATTAGTCGTTAGATAAGTGCAAATTTGATCAATGAGATATGGTTACAATTAAACAGACTGACCATACTGTTAGCAAGGAAGTGGAGGAATCAGAACTCTCAGACACTGCTGCAAGAATGTAAAATGTTAACACTTTGGAAAATAGAAGTTAAACATATACTTCACCATGTGATCCAGCTATCCCACTCCTAGGTATTTACCCAAGAGAAAAGCAAAGCATATGTCCATAGAAAGCATATGTCCGTTCATATACACATGAATGTTGATAGCTTTCTTTATTTCTAATAGCCCAATCTGGAAACAACCCAAACGTCCATCAACAGGTAAATGGATAAGCAAACTTTGGTATAGTCATATAGTGGAATACTACTTGACAATAAAAAGCAATTTACTGTTGATAACTATAACATGGATGGGTCTCAAATAATTATAGTAAGTGAAAGAAGCCAGAACCCCCAAAAGAATACATGCACTGATTCCATTTATATAAAATTACAGAAAATGAGAATGATTCTCTATTGTCATAAAGCAAATCAGTGGTTGTCTGAGGGTGAGGAGATACAGGGAGGGATAGGAGGGAGGGACTACAAAGGGGCATGAAGAAACTTTTGGGGGTGGTATATATGTTCACTATCAAACTGTATACTTTGAATATGTATGGTTTAATGTATGTTATGTATATCTCCATAAAGCTATTAAATAAAAAAGCAAGCAGCAGCCTGGCCGGGCGTGGCTCAGCGGTTGAGCATCGACCTAGGATCCAGGCGATCGGGTTCGATTCCCGGTCAGGGCACAGGCCCGGATTGCTGGGCTCCATCCCCAGTCGGGGCCGTGCAGGAGGCAGCCAATCAATGACTCACTCATCATTGATGTTTCTCTCTCTCTCTCTCCTTTCCTATCTCTGAAATCAATAAAGATATATTTAAATAAAAAAATAAATAAAACATTACATGTTGACTTTAAAAAAAAAGCAAACTGCAGATCTGTATAATACTAAATTAAAAAGATTGGAAAGACGAAAAGGCAAGTTGCAAAACACTGTAGCCTTATTTTTGCAAGAGAATTTGTACATATTGTTTAAGAGGATATACAATGAAAGATTAGGCATTAGATACTACTGTTAACACACACACACAAACTGAGAGATTCAAAAATATGTTGCAGAAGCGTATTTATTGATATACAGATAGTGGGGGGAAAGCAAGTTACAAACAGTAATCACAGTATGATTGTGTGTTAGTTTCTTAACTGTTTAAAAATTTCAAAGCATATAATCCAGAATTTTTGCACACTGGGACATTCTCTTCAGCTTAGACCAGGGGTTGTAGTTCCTACCATGAGACTTAGAGAACATAGTCATAGTCCAAAAGTCCTGAAGATGCTTTCTGAACCATAAAGACTTCCAGGAGTCACTGTTCTATCAGTTGAGGCAGCAGCTTCTCTCTTAGCTTTCCTGTTCTGTGTTGATAAGGCTGCAGTTCTGGGTCTAAATTTCTCTAAGTCTACCCTGTACAGTTTTAGCTGGTACAAATGCAGAAAGTGGACTAGACTACTAGTAAAAGATGGAGCCTTTTGATATTTCATGACACACATGCGAAATGGAAAAAATTATAAATGATAAAAAAACTAAGTTACGATTTTACAAGGAGGAAGAAAGCAATGATCTTTTTTAAATGTATGAAACAATGTGCAGAATGATTCTAGTTCTCTTTAAAAAGGTACAATCAGATTGAAAAAGATAGGAAGGATATACAGCAAATTTTACTTGCTAATGACTCCAAATTTACATCTTACTCAACAGTTTTGGGTACCTCCTGTTTTCCAGACACTGCCGGTTCATATCCGTACACTCATCCCAGACTTTTCTCCTAACACCAAATGCCTAATGGACATGTGCATTTGGAGGAAGTAAAGAATTGCAAGACTGGCAGGGGCTTTATCTATAGCAAACTGAATCATTAAAACCAGTCTCTGAGCCTTCAAGGCCACCACCTAAAAAAGTGAAATGACTGTAAGGTAGAGGAGTGGGTTTTGTTATTAGACACAACAGTTATCCCACCTGCCTGCTATGGAAATCTAGGAAAAAGTATTTAACCTTCCTAATTCTCACTGGAGGTGATCCACAATAATGAGTTATAAAAAAAGAAAAAACTACCAGTACCTAGCTCACAGGACCATTGTGAGAAGGGGGCAGGGGGAACCCTGTAAAGTACAGAGCCAACGTAGTATCTGACATAAGAGCAGGTACCCAGCAAATGTTTCCTCCCTACACCTACCTCCTTTCTCTTCTGAGATGACTTTGAGGTAAATGAAATAGCCTAACAATGAGTTGTACATGTAGTAGAAACATTTAAAAATGAATACTACATTTTATCTAGGATTCAAGGCCATTTCTGTGGTGTAGATTATATATGATGCAGGCAGAATAGGAGGAAAACTAATTCCTCTTACATTAAATAGCTTATAGAAACTCCTCTCTTCTTTATGTTATTGAGAGTGCACTTTGCAATGAGTGTATGCGAATATATGTATAATCTGTTAGTTATCTTTTTGTGTGTAAATGCCTTACTTCTGCAACTAGATTATAAGTTAAGGTTATTTTTTTGCCATTTGAAGCCACAAATGGATCTAAGCAGATACTAATGAACAAGTTAGCTTACTTAGGACGAACTGGTTCACTAATTTCTTAAGTAAAATGTTGAAAAGTGCCCCATCTACACAAGATAAAAATCAACAGACATTTTCAGCTCACAATGTAATATGTGATATCCCCAAAACAGTCTAGCTCAAATCTAGAGACTGTCACAATATTGTTCAAGATGTAATTTATGTGCACACTGTAATAAAAACATTATGCAAGGCTCTTTGAGAACAGATAGCCTTATCAGAATTTTGGGACTGTTCTGTCTTCTTTTATTTCTGGCTCATTTTACATTGTTTCAATAATCACTTTAACTTCACGGAAAATGGCCATGAGTGTATTATAACTCGAGTGATCAACAACTACAATTGAACCCTTTCTGATATGCTCCTTTATGTTAATAAATATGGCCACGGCATTAACGAGATTGGCTTTTGCTTCTTTCTGGTTAAAGATTAGTTTTAACACTGCTAATGCCTTTGTATTGATCATGTCTCTGGCTGCAACTGGGTGTTCAGACATATTCAAAAGTACTTTCAAAACAAGATTTCTGGTTTTGCGATTTCCCTGGGAAAGCAAATTAAAAAGCTCTGAAAAATATTTGGCAACGATATGGTGATGGTTAGCATCAGCAGTCAGTTGCCCCAATATTTTTAAGCCAGATTGCTGTCCAGGTGAATTCAAAGGAAAACATATGGTTTCCTTACACATATGTTTAACATGTAATTCAATCTTGCGGTGTCTTTCATTCCCAGAAGGGGCATTCAGAGTAATTACAGCCTTTTTTCTCATTTCAGAGGAAGGAAAACTAAGCAAGCTTTCAATAAGTGTCACTACACCTACCTCATTAATAAATTCTTGGGCAAATGGATGAACATTAATGATCCCCATTGCAATTTGAGCTATTTTATGAATGAGAGGATCAGTAGTTGACTTAAGTAAGGTAACAAGTTTTTCAAATTCCTCAGAATTCATGTAGCATTCCATTTTGCAAGGGCAAGCAAATGGCTTAATCCCATTCGCCTCCCTGATCTTGATTTGGCGTCTAATCTCCTCTATGGTCTGAATGCAAGGGTCAGAACCAAATGGGTGCTCTGGGAGAGGTTGTGAGCATGAGGGTGTGCTCTTAGAAAGACATACTGTTGCCTCAGGCAAAGAATGAGTATTTTCCTCAGCCGAGGTCAGGACAATATATGAAGGAGGCCTTATCTCAGATTGGACTTGGGACCTAAATCCTAACACTGCTGGAGTTACGGCAGGGGCGTTGGGCCAGATAGTTACCTCAGACCAGTCCTTGGGCCTATTTTTTTCATTAATTTCATCCACAGGCTGGGGCTTAACTATCCTGCTCACAGGTTTAGGATTAGGGTCAAAACTAGTTTCATCTCCATCCCAAAACCAGTTCCCAATAACGTTCTCTTCCTCCTCCTCTTCAGCCCCTGGCCTAGCCTTACAGCTAGCCCCGGCCACAGGCTCCAACTTCTCAGCACAGGATGGGGGACCAGTACCAGCTTTACCTTCATCCTTGGCACTGGAGCGATTACCAGTCTCTTCTCCACTCCAGAACCAGGAACCAACACTGGCCCCTTCCCCAGCCCAGAACCAGGCATCAATACCAGCCTTATCTTTACACACAGACTTGGACTCAGCATTAACCTCAGCCACAGAACAACATCGAGATACTCGAGTGGCCTCACCTTCAACTTTGGGACTGAAATTTGCCAGGGTACCTTCTTTCATCTCAGTAACATTCTTGTTCTTAGACACTGCTTTCACCTCTGCCACTGCATTTGCCTGAAACCCTGGCTTGGCTATTGCTTTGGCCTGGGTCTTGGCTACAGGTCTGACTACGCCAGTAGCCTCCCTTTTTGTTTTAGCATCTACGCCAGCCCTTTTTACATTTTTGGCCTTGTTTCTACTCCCAGTCATGGTTAAAGCCCAGTTATATCAATAGCCCTATAGAGTCTTGGCCTTGGTTCTCACACTTTCACTGGGTCAGAGAGAACTTTGTAGCAAGAGTTAAAAATGTCAGTTCAGGAGTCACACAGTCCCCTTTCCAAACACAAAGCTTCTGTCAATGATACAGACAGAGGGCAGAGGCACTCAGACTGAGGGAAGATGCTGGTTCCTGAGTGTGGAAAGTGATAATCTTCTATCACTCCAAGGCCACCACAGCTGCCACTGGATATGGACCTACAGTGGAAGAAGGAAATGGACTATGAGCCTCTTCCAACTGTGCTCATCTATGCAGACAGCCACAGAGGACATGAGAGTAGAGATGGACTGTTTGGTAGGAGAAAGTAGAATTGTAGATGACAGTTACCTCATTTTAGCCCTTCCACACTCCCACTAATGCCCAACAATGTCCTGCTCAGGCACTACCACACTCTTCTCTGCATTAAATAGGAGCAGGGATGATGGAAAACCTTGCTGAAAGTGAGAGAGGCTACCAAGCATCCAGCCCCTTTGGTATACACCACTATACTATACAGGTCTATCCAGATAGGCCTCACACCAACCTGCACTGATCTCCTTCCTTTCTTGCGTGCTTCCAGTGTCGATAAGCCCTACAGCTGAAATCACAGGCAGACCTATGGACAAAAACACAGGTGGGATTGGAATTCAGAATTTCGGTAGACAGACATGCACTCTGGTTTCTAGACCCAATACCTAGGTAGCATACCAAATCTGGGGCTTTGGTTATACAGTTGGCCCTTGAATAATGCAAGGGTTGGGGCACTAAAGTTGAAAATCCATGGATAACTAAAGTCGGCTCTCCACATAGATTACCAAACAGAGTTGAACCTTGAACAATGTAGGTTTTTAACTATAGTCAGTAGAACTGTGTGAATCAAATCAACTGTGGTCAATTGAAAAAATCCGAATATAAGTGGACCCACGCAGTTTAAATCCATGTTGTTCAAGGGCCAATTGTGTTTTTGGCTTCCCTGGTCCTCCTCCTGGTTTCCCTCCTCATTTCCCAGTTGTCTATTAACTACCCTATAATCACAATCTTAGCTCACTCCATGCCCATTTCCTGAGCTGTATAGAATGTTGGAAGACAATGGCTCCATCTGTTCTCACCCACTTGCCAACAGCCAATTTCCATCCCCAATAAATAGGGATGCTCATGCTCACACTCACCTTGGATCCAAATGAGCAGTTTCGGTCCTCTTGCTTAATTAAATTCAAAGTCAACAGCTACCTACAGGAACCTCTAAAGGAATAAACCTAGACAGACAAACAGGCAGAGGAGAGAAAACAGAAGAGATTGAGATGGCCCGACACTCATGACAAGTGTTATAACATATGCTTTTGTACATTCAAGGTCATGTTAAATGTCTCCCACCTGTCTGATCCTGCAAAATGACTCCCCATCCATTCCCCCAAGACCTGCAACTTGCCTAATTACACCTCCCAACTCTGAAGTCAGCGATTTTCCCAGCAGAGGGCACACTCTCTTCCCTGAACAAAAGTATGAGGTGCAAGAGCGGGTATGGAAAATAGGCAAATGAATTTAGAAAGAAAGGAGTAAAGATAATGGGGACTATTCTTTCAATAGCATCTTTGCATGCCCCTACCCTTTCCCCTTCTCTCTGCATGCATAGATCCTATCTCACCACCTGTACCACACAGCAAGGGACCTTAGGAGATGCTATCCTTCCTACCAAAGAACAGTCCTCCAGCTGGAGAAGAGTCACGCCATACAGAAAAAGGGAGGGGTATTCAGCAAAGCACCAGGAAAACCTGTTGACAATGATAGAAAAAGATCAGGTTAATGGACAGATACCCAGAGTTCAGGTCTTTCACCTCATTTTCAAGAATCAGTAAGTAAATAAATCTCTCTTAACGCCCATGTTTCTTCAGATATTCATTCTCAGGAACTCCACAAAAGCTTTTGTGAGACTGTCTCTGCACCAAAATGAGGGGCTTTAAGGGGCAGATGGAGATGGAATTTAGTTTCCTGACCTAGAAATTAAACAGACTGACTTCATGCGTTCCAAATGGACTCTTCAGAAAACTTTCCCCTCCGTTCTGAACCGCCATTACCTCAAAATATTAAAGTAGGCTGGGATGTTGAGTAAACAGATCCCGAATAAGAAAGGTGGATTACTAGCACAGTTTATATGGACCCTTCCCGTGAAAGTCGATGAACTCTTCACCCTGTCTTGTGCTTGCATCAATGGGTTCAAGATCCAAACATGGAAGGCACTAAAACTGCTGTATTAAGAGGCAAGCAAACATTTCACTTTAGTGTCTTCTCAATCTACCCATTCATTCTCATTTTTGCTAAAAACACACCTACCGCGCAGACACAAGGTGCCTGTAGGAAAGGAGAGCACCCAGGATGCTGGGCCCAACAGGCCCCTTTCCAGATTCAGGGCCCAGAGTAGCCGAAGCTAACGTCTGCGCCCTGGCGCTCCCACCTCCAGCCCAGCTCCCGCTCCGCCATTTCTCCCGAAGCAGCCCCCCCTCCAGCGCTCTCCCAGCACAGACACCCTAGAGGGCGGGGCGCGGGCGCCGGGAAAGCCGGCTGGGGAGCAGCCAGCGTGCTTCGCCTTCCCCGCAGGAGCCGCGGGCACTCT